AGAGTCACTGTACAGACACTCAGTCCAGCTCCTCTGTATCTTCTTGTCAAAACTGCACGCTCCGATTACGAGAGCTGCATTGTCTAAGTCAGCGAGTGTTCCCTCGCAGGGACGCCAAGGTGCGGAAGTCTGTGGAGCGGATCTTCTCCATCTGGGAGGAGCGGAACGTGTATCCCGAGGAGCTGATCACGGAGCTGAAGACCAGTCTGGTCAAGAAGGAGCCTGCTGGTAAGAGATGCCAGAGTAGGGTTTGTGTTGTAGAGAGAGACGTTTAACACCTCTGGACAGGTGTGTGCTACAGGGTGCTCCAGAAGCACTTGTCCTGTTGTGCTGTAGCCCTTGTGCGGGTGAGACCACCGGGAACATGTCCAACTGAATAATGACAGTGCCCACTGTAGGGTGTTGATGCCCTCTGTCCCCTGGAGGGCACCAGGCTACACACTGCCATTGTGGGTCTGCCCACCCCTATTGTGCATTTGTACTTGCTGTGCACCATAGTTAGCCGTGAGGGCACGCTGCATGGGTACTGATAAACGGGGCCTGTCCTGGTCAATGCTAGCAGCTGGGCCCCTAAGGGCACCCAAGTTGCTATGGCAAGTGACACCAGTGGACCTGTAGGTGGCGCTCTTGCTTCTGGAACACGGTTTCATACAGTTTTGGTCTACACAGATACAGCAGTACACACACCTTTGTAAAGCAGTGCCCCCTCGTATTGGTGTTAAGCAGCCTTGCCCTTGGCCTCTCCTTGAGTGCTTGGGCAAGCAGCTGAGCTAGAAGTGTCACATCTCCAGGACAGCTTGTATTTTGTGTTTTCTTCTCATTTAAAATGAGTTTTTCCTGAACTAGTTTCAGCTCCAGTGAACCCCAAGTCGGCCCTGAAATCGAAGATAGTGGCAGAGTTTGCGGTGAGTGACTCTCTGTAGTTTCTTTGGGTGTGGGTTTGTGCGTCGTGCTGCGCGAGAGCTGCCGGAGTTTGTGGGCGCGCAGGGCTCTCTCTGTCCAGCTGGGGGAGCCGGCGTGCCCGCGTGGGTGCCTGGCACTTGACTGTCTCTCTCCCGCCTGCCTGTCCGCCCCGCAGCCCCAGGCATTCATCGAGCAGCTGTCGGCCTACCAGCGCTCGGTGGAGGAGGTGGAGCTGAAGGAGAAGCAGCTGTCGGCGCTCAGGGTCGACGTCTGCAGCACTGAAACGCTGAAGCGCCTCAAAGGTCAGAGCGGGGTTCGTGGACCCCCCTTCCTCCTGCTCCTCCTCTTCACACTTGACTCCTCTCTCTGTCTCCTCCTCCTCCCCTCAACACTGTACTCCTCTCTCTTTCTTCTCCTCCTCCTCTTCTCAACACTGGACTCCTCTCTCTTTCTTCTCCTCCTCCTCTTCTCAACACTGGACTCCTCTCTCTTTCTCCTCCTCGTCCTCCTCCTCTTCACACGGGACTCCTCTCTCTG